TCCGACGGCTATCTTGAAAAAACACAATGGACGGTCCGTCGCGGACGATCCGCTCCATCTGAAAGCGCTGTGAAGTGGTGAAGTGTGAGTATGGGGCTTTACGGTGGAAACAAGCGCCGACAAGTTTTTTCTGTGTGCAGATGTGTTCAACAGCGCATTTAATTATTGGCGCTTACTTTTTACGTTCATTGTGTACTATTGAGACGACTTTTAGGCGCTTATAAACCAGCTTTCTTGTGTCCGTACCCTTAGCCAGGTTCTAAAAGGAAATGTATCTGCACCATACAGGTTGAGTCTTAAATAAGTGCAAATATTTCTATGGGTAGTATCTTTCGACCCTAAAAACATGCCTCATGCCTATGAGGTTTTTACGCGAAAAAAAAAAATTGTTAAATTTTTAATTTTTTAAAAAAAAATTGGATTTTTTTTAAATTTTTAGTTAAAAAACATAATATCTTCATAATATAACATCATTTACAAGAAAGAAAACCCAGAAGATCAAGTGGTTCTCAAAATTTAAGCGAATATATATTTTTTGAAATTTAATAATAATAATATAATAGCTCCCGTATATAGCGTTTAACGCCTTGGGAGTAGCAAGGTACAGCTTGCAATACTAGAGCCGTCCGGTATACAAGGAATGTAATGTGGCTAGCACTACGCTTCAACCGCCTATTATTACCTCAGGATTGTGAAACCCAAGTACTCATTTTAAGGCTGAGTCGACCTAGGTACCCAAACTATTTTTATTTTAATAGAAATAGTCGGCTGATGAAATGCCGGGTGTAGGAATCGAACCCACAACCTTCAGATTGGTAGACGAGAGCCTGTACCTCTACGCCACCGGGCACCGTGTTTTTTGAAATTTTCAAAGTAAAATATCTCGGTTATTTTGAAACTTATTTGAAAAATGGTAAAGAGAAAATATGTTTCTTTTATCGAGATCTACCGAACCTGAAAATAGTTGCACTTATTTAAGACTCACATTGTATAAAAAGTATTTGTTTATAATAAATGTATTTAATATGTCGACTACTTTAAATAATAATCAGCATTAATTAAACATACATTCATTGATTCACATACGTCGCTCTCTGTCTTCTTCATATCATTGCCCGATACATTTAAAATGCTAATGTGGAACATATCCGTGACGTAGCAGCCAGCTACGCTCCTATTGATCAAAGTTACCAGACAACCGTCTTAAATTAATAACTGTTGTCCAGATTAGCCTGAGCGCTTGCATATAGACCGACAAAATCGGAGCCACACGTTCCAGCAATTGTATTTAATTCTATTATATTTGCCGGCCTAGGCACCCTGATTTCAGGTCCAATCCGGTGGATCCATCATGTCTCAAACGTATCGGTCCTTGAAAAAGCTAACTGCGAGAGTATTGAAGTCATGGTTGCAAAATCCCGCTTAAGATGGGCTGGACACGTATGCAGAATGCAAGATAACCGCATACCAAAATCTCTGTTTTACAGTGAGCTTGTAGACGGTAAAAGGAGGCCGGGTGGACAACTCAAAAGGTACAAGGACATTTTCCACGAAAACTTAAAGGGGATTAACATGCAGAATCATTGGGAAGAAGCAGTTCACAATAGAACTCAATGGAGAAGAATTGTAAACTCAGTTAACAGCGACAACCAAAAAGTAAAGAGGCAACAAAACAATGAGATTTTTGAATGTCCGGAGTGCGGTAGGCAAATAACATCACGTATCGGTCTTTTCAGTCACAGAAAAGTTCATGAAAGAAAATGCCTTGTATGACCATCTTTTGATGCGTGTCGAATACTCGTCAGCGAGTAATGGCAGTATGTATGTATGGGTGGTTTGCACCGATGAATTTAAGGGAGTCTTAAGTTAAATGGAGCTTTGAATATGACAAGCAAATTTAAAAAGTCACAAATGAAGTCACGTTCAAAGCTACACTTAATTTAAAACTCCTTTAAATTTGTCAGTACAAACCACCATTAATCACTTTAAACATTTACAGGTAATTTACCTTTGAGTTTTTTTCTTTAAATAATTTATAAACTAGTAAATATTATCAAATAAATTAATATCCGAATAACAATAGTATTTTCTCCAATTTATATATTTATATTTTCTATGTTATGACATAAAAATGACATGAAACACCAGTGGCGGCTTAACCATAAGGTCAAATGGTCAATGCCCCCCCCCCATAGCCCCCCCCCCATTAGAAAAGACCTATTTAAATTTTTAAATTATACTTTTTGTAAATCACTTTTTTTCATCCTAAGATATTAAAAACTATTCCCAAAAAATCTTCAGTTTGTCAAATTTTCGCTTGAAAACGTTTTATTTTACCCATTTTCTCTACTGCCGGTCAAAATTCCATTTTGTCCTTCGTTCCCGCTATGTATTGCACGTTAAACTGCAAATGCCGCGGCTCGTGACGCCAACAAGGTAAGGTATACTACGTATAGAAAATATAATGAGTTAAGGTGCGATAGATATAGTTTATATTGGCCATTGACCGCGTCGTTCATAAAAGGATATCAGTCATATCGTTGGAAAAATTTCGAAGTTTGGGCAATTTGGGTGTTTATAAAAACTCAAATTATAAAACAACCTAGGTTTTTGTATCGTTTATAGCTTGATTTTCATGCGTCCGTTATCCGACGATACGATATTAATTTTATTGGTTTTGAAGACTTCGATTGGTTAACCGTTTAAAGATCAAATGATAACCAATCAGTCTTTCAATTCAACCAATAAAATTAATATCGTATTATCGTATCGTCGGACAACGGATGCATGAAAATCAAGCTTATCGCGTATAATGTTTGATTTAGTCAATTCAAAGCAATATTTAAATTTTTAATATCGAACGAAATCCCATCTAGTTCTAGTTGTCGCCGAGTGTTTGAGGTGTAGCGCGAAATTTGTGTAGGTAATAATTCATAATTTTCTGGTTATGGATAAATGATGAACTGTGGTTGACTGATTCTGGAATAAATATTTTAAAATAGACAACATGGTGTTTAGTTCGTGAAACCGTGCGGTTAAAAGAAAACAATTGCTTAAATTTTGAAAAACGTTTAGAGAAAGAACGCCGGGTTGACTTAAAATATAAAAAAATATGAAATAAAACTTTTAGAATTGTGTATGTGTATACAGAGAAGACCAGGCTACTAGTAACATAGCAAGTTGCCGGACGAATTTACGATTACCCGTTTTGCGTTCGTACTCGAGAGTCACTGCCGGCTAGTCGGCTGGTCAGGCAGTACGCAGTGGCTGTTGTGCTTGGACGGGTCGGTCGTGACAGACTAGGAATATGACGCGAGGAGTGCCGTGTATTTATTATTTTCATTTTAAGTGTTTACCTTCACTTAAGGTAACATTTATAAATATTTATTCTTTGAGTGTGTTTACAAACCAAAACTAAAAATAAATAAATTCCCTAAACCCAAAAAAAAACTATAATATTACTTTAAATAAAAAACAGTTATAACAAGTGTTCAAAAAGACCACCTTCTTGTGCTAGACAGAGGCGGTCGTAAAATCCCCGTCTGACATAACATATTAGGGCTAATAGTTTGGAAAGCTTCTCGTATTTTGACTTGAAACTCATCCAGATTATTAGCCCTATTATGACCATGCACTTTGGATTTTACATAACCCCACAAAAAGAAATCATTGGGAGAAAGATCTGGTGATCTAGCGGGCCACAAAATAGTTCCATATCCACTACTTAAACGGTTGGGAAAAATATTGTTCAAATATTCTTAAACAATACGGGCATTGTGGGCAGGGCAACCACCTCAGCAATTTGATTACTTGAAAACGTGGGATTTTAATCCGCGGTAGCACAAACGAACACTTGCTTTAACTCCTGTTCTTCATTAATCAACACATTAGGCTTTTTGTGTTTTTGTGGGGACACGCACCCATGTGTTTCAAAATTATTAATAACTCTTGATATAGTAGATAAAGATGGAATTGGCCTGTTTACAAAAGTTTGTGGAAAAATTGTTTGTATATCCCGATAAGACAATTTGGAAATACAATTTTACAATTTGAATTTTCTCACGAACTTCATAAACATCCATTATTTTACTTAATAAATAAATTTTACACGAGAACTGTCGTGAGAATCTACGTATTCGTTTTGGCTATTACCAAACCAAACCAAAACACGAATAAATACAAATTCTGAAACATTCTTATCACATATCGACCTATTTTTATTTTATCGCATTTTTTCGCCTGCTTTTTATCTGGCGGACGGGTATACGCTAATTCGTCCGGTTCTGCCTATGTTACTACTACGGTGGTCCGGTCTGTATATGCATTTATATTTTTGTGATATTATTAAGTGTTTTTTAAATCCTACCTTGGAAAATTTGTGTAAAGAACATTGACTGGATTTTTAGTGAAATGGCACTAGACCATCTGTTTAAAAATGTAAGAGTAGGTTTCATTTTGACAGAATTTATGTTTATTTTCCTTTAACTAAACGTACAAGTACCTTGTAAGAAACCAATTAAATTTGGGCGCGCCTTAAAAAAATCGACGCAATATTTTTAGATATTGACCTCCCTACAATAATGAGCACGAGCCGCCACTGATATACACAAAAGAAAGATAGACGATTGGTCAGTCAGTGTCAAAGATAAAGATAATCAGATAGTCGAATGTCTCTGATGTGCCTTCAACAATGAAGCGAATTTACTTATCCACGAAGTTTAGAAGATCTAAGGATAAATCAATAAAATTGCATAAAATCCATGATGGATAACGCATTACGGATAAACCCAACTTGGCAGCAAAAAAGAAACAACACTTTTTTTTGAACCAACTGACCAACAAATAGCGGTACAATGGTAATAAAGCTTTAAAGAGACATAGCTTCAATGATATTTTTTTCTATGCGTAGTTTTTTTAATAACAATTTATTGTATTAAACCACAGTGCAATAGTTTTATTACTTTGGGGAAATTATAATTTATTATATAAAACGGTATAAGAAACTGCAACTTGTTTTTATTTAACAATTTACTTATGAACTAAAATATGTATAAGAGATTCAGTTCGATGACTTATTAATAATAAGAGTGAAATAAATGAAACTTGATTTCCTCTTGATAACATTATAAACATCAGTCCATAATTATCCATGTTACAGATATATCCTCATTTGATATTTTTCTTAATACATCATGATCAAAATTAAAATTTAAGATACAGACTTTAACATAATATATTTTAAAACTACAAAGTGGCGGGAAATACAAAATAATTTGTACTACAATAATAAATAATATACAAGTGAAAAGAGAGTTACAAATAGTATTTGAATATCGCTTTTTCTATTAAGAAGTAAAATAAGATACATTCGGTTTTACATTTTATAAAAAATGTACATAACTTTTTTACTATATTTGTACCTTAATACTACTACTATGCATAGTTATTGCACGTTACTTTACTGATTCTACTTAATTCCCACCACAAATTATTTTCTATAAAAACTGAAGCAGCAAAAATAAAGCACAAAAGTGTAAATCTAAAACTGCTTTTGATTTAAAATGTAATAAAATTAAGAAAGTGACTAGGAAATAGTTCTTCCCAATTTAAAGGAATCTTAAAAATACAGTTTTTCGTTCTTGTATTCATAATAAATGCCATTACAACACTGTGATATTGATAAAAATATTTAAAAATCATAATATCTAACTAATCCTTAAAAAAGGAAACCAAAGTTTTTACAGTCTCATAGATATCAATAAATAACTGAGAAAAGTCAAAGTTTTGGATCTGACTAGCTATTTTTGTAAATTATGTAATTCGCATTGAAAACATTCTGTTCTTCAACAGTGTTCTTTAACAATGTGAATTAACAAAGCGGTAGTATTACAATAGATATATGAACTAGGGCAAAAATAAATAAATTTATTATACTGTCAATTTTTTCCATAATTTGCCGCTAACGAAAGTTCCAATTTGACCTGTTTCAGAACTAAAGGTATTAAATTATAAAAAATCACATGATTGAGTTACATGGGAGAGAAACTTTTTGTTATTAAATTATATTACTAATACACCAAGCCAGTATGTTTGTTTTAATCTCCCCAGTTTTCTTCATCCGTGTTCATTTCTTGTTCTTCTTGGACGCCTAAATAAAAAATATCTATAATATAGGCTTTATTTATAATATAATAATAACTTTAACATACCAGTAAGTTTAAGGTGTGTTTCACTATAAATTTCTTGCTTCATCTTCTTTTTTGCTAACATTTCAATTTCTTCTTTGGATCTTTCTTTGCGAAATTCATATACTAAGGGAAATATGTATTCTATGGCCGCTTGCACCTCGGCAACACTTGGAGCTAAAATATTAATTGCTGATAATTATATAACAAATTATACGTTTGTGTTATACAACAAAAAAATATGCGAAATTAATTTAGCATGGCTAAAAAACATATTAACATAATATTGTGGTATTAAAGTATGTAATGACAATACAAAAAAAGTTACAAACTGGACTTAGATCACACAATCAAGGTGAAGTCAAAGGAAAGATCAGTTTTTTCGAACACGTTAAAAAACACATTTTTTCGTATGAATATCAGAGGACAAAACGAATCTAGTAAAAATAATTCTTAATGCTGCATTTTTTCATAACTGCAACGCCATATAAAATCAAAAAAATATTAGTTTTCAGAATACTGGATTTGTTGAAAAAACTTCTGTTTTTTCGCCACTAGAAGATCTACAAAATAAAAAAAAGGTATTTAATCTTTATGTTCTTTAATTCGAACATTTAATGGTCTAGATGTGTCATCAATATAAAATTCAGTGTTTATTGGTGTAGTGTAAGTTAAAATGAGTCTAAGTCTATTTTGTGTTTTGAGGGATGTTCGTATGTTATATTGTTTTTCTATTGTCAAGGAGCGCAGAGATGTTACGGATAATACGCGAAATTAGTTAATTCGCCAATTATCCGATATATTATAGGCTGGCTGCAACGACATCCCGTAATCCTGATGTTAAAACATAACCAGCTGGTTTTTATACAGGGTGTTTCAAAATACATGTGCCATCTCTCGTGGAGAGATTCCTCACGTGAAAATAAGATTTATTTTTCATATTAACATAGGTCCGATTCTGCGCTTTGTTTCGTAGCTACAGGGTGTTGTTTAAATATTTTTTCGATTTATTATAATTTTCTTCCAAGTACTTTTAGCGTTTCGAATGAAATTTTGAGAGTAAAAGTTATTATCAATGCGATATATTTTAAAGCTAAAAAAGTTGTCCCCGTTCTATGTCTGCACCCATTCTCCTATCCCTGTGCCCTGTACTAACTTATGCAGGTCCTTGATAGGATGGGAGCATAGTTCCTCCGGTTCTAGCCTATCTTTCCCAAATAAAAAGTGTCGCTTGCGATCCAGAGCCTCGCAGTGACATATTATGTGCTCCGCTGTTTCAGGATCTTTATCGCAGAGTCTGCAGCAAAGATTTCCTTGATACAGGTTGAGCTTGTTCAGGTAACACTTGACAGCCATATGTCCTGTCAAGAGGCCTGTTGTAATCCGCAATTTATTCCTGCTAAGCATTAGCAGTTCTTTTGCGGTTTTAGAGCTAGGTCCTTGGATAAAAGCCTTGCTGTGCCTGTGCCCCTGTCTGTTTCTCCAGTGGACATTCTGCTTTTCCCTGATCCAGTGCACTACGGGCCATACATTTGGGTATTCCCAGTACTGGCTCTGGACCAAGATAAAATGCCGATGATCCTTGCCTAGCTAGCTCATCGGCTTTTTCGTTGCCTTGGATGCCGCTGTGGCCCGGCACCCAGAATAATTTAATTCTGTTCCTTCGAGCCAAAGCTTCCAGTTCACCTAGGCATCAGCTCATAAGCGTCCCAAGTGCCGCCTGACTGTCTGAGCATATATTGATGAGCTTATCTGAATAAGCTCTTCAATTGTTTTCTCTCGAGATTTCTGTCTGGAATACGGTTGAGTGTTTACCCAAGGAAAAGGATAAACTTACCCTTGGTCTTTCCCCAAATACTCCAGCTCTGTTCCTCCTCCTGTTCCTTCAGCGGTCTTTGGCCCGTCTGTATACCAGGTTAGTCCATCCTGAAGGAATGTTATATTTGTCCACATTCCTCGATCCATTTTGTTCACCTCGAATGGTTTGTGGTAGTGATAAAGAGGGGTCATTTGGTCCGATCTCATTTGGAGTAGAGGTCCCCCGATAGGATTTCCCATCTTTGAGTGTCTGGTTTCTGTCCTATTTCCCAGAGACAAGACACTTTGTTGTCGATAGAGTCCCATTCTTGCCTCCGCCTGGATCACTATGTGGCGGAAAGAGGCGGAAGGTCCAGAAGCGCCTCCACTGATGCATTGGGCGTTGATTTCATCGCCCCTGTTATGCTCAGACAAGCAAGTCTTTGCACCTTGCTGAGGCTGAGCATTGTTGTTCATACCTCAGGCCACAATACCAAGGATGCATATGTTACTGAAGGCCTCACCGCTCCAGTGTACAGCCAGTGTACCATCTGTGGTCTGAGGCCCCAGATTTTTCCATGAAGGCGTCTGACCACCGCTAGTGTAGTCACCGCCCTCCTTGTGACATTTTCCAAATATCCGTTCCAGGTCAGTTTGGTATCAAGCGTGATACCGAATGTGTGTTAGTTTCGCGTATTATTCACCGCAAACCGGTTAAAACGCGAATAATCCAAGAGCAACAGTAAAAAACGTTTATTTTGTTAGTATTTTATCTTTTGTCAACAAGGGCAGCAATTATACCGCACGATCGAAAAAAAAATGGTGTCAAAGACGGCTGGAGCATGATAATCGATGATAATTTTGTCGACGTCATTTACTAAAAATTGACATAAAACTTGTCAAAAATTAACACTAATTATAGGAAGATTAAAAAGGGTAGAACGTTTTTTCAGACACACGAATATATTTCGTAAAAACTATTTTTTCTCGAATTTTAAACTATACACCATTTCAAAATCATTTTTACTTAATATAAAACTAAATTACAATCGTCTTAAGGCCAACTGGCAGTAAGCGCCATTAAAAAATATAGAACAGTACGAGTCAAGTAAATAACGTCTAGGGCTTGACCTCGCCAAAATTATCATCGATTGTCATTCCACAGCCGTCTTTGAAGCCGTTTTTTTTCAATCATATGGTAGAAAAAGAAAGCTTAAACAGGTTAAATAATGAAGACTTACAAAGTTACAAAGGGTGGGCTGTTTAAACTGTGATGATTATAAGAACATAATTGAATGTGTTTAAGCAGTCATTATAAAAACATAATAGACCGAGAGAGCTGGCTACATAAACCTTATCATCGTTACATGGCTAATTTTTTGTGTGAAGTATCCTTTTGTGTAGCCATTGTGAAATAGTCATGTCTGCCAGCGCGATCCCGGGGCTTAAAGCGGGGGCGGCCAATCGAAAGGGTGAAATTTTGACACTAAAAATATTTATAAGGTACACGAGTTATAATTGCCAAATAGCTTTTATTTATTATTAGGAAACGTGTAAAATTGTTGGCAGACATTTTTCTCGTGGCTGAAATGCCGGCAGACAACGCGAAAGAGGCATAGAATTTTGACAAAAGAAAATCATCGCATACATGCATGTCGGTTGGTGGAATGTCAATAAACATGACATTCCACCGTTAATTAATTTAAAAAGCCGTATGCAAAAGGGCAAACAAAAAAATCGTTATTGAAATAATAAAAAAATATACTTATAATATAATCGTATATTATATGATTTATCTATACTTAAATGGATGAGGCGGCCAGCGTTCCCTGAATAAAGCGCTAGAGTAATATCACGCTTTTGATAACTGTCTGCAGCTGATTGAGCCACGATCTTTTTATCTGCCCTTTTGCATACGGCTTTTAAAATAAATAAATATGACATTTCACCAATCGGCATGCAAATATGCCGTAATTTTTTTCATTCTTCAAATTTCATTTTTTAATAATTTTTAAAATGTCATGACTCTTTCGCGTTGTCTGTCAGCATTTTAGCGACTAGAAAAATGTCTGCCAACAATTTTCCACGTTTCTTAATAATAAATAAAAGCTATTTTCGCAATTATAACTCATGCATCTTATAATATTTTTAGTGTCAAAATTTTACCCTTTCAATTGGCCGCCCCCAAGAACTGTAAACTAATAGGATTGATCGTTCTCATAAGACGTACGTTCGCCTCTTCCCGTGCTTCAGCTGACAGTTGCGACGTCATTGTAGTCCTTGTCATGATAGTGTGTATTATTAGTCGCCTATGGTAAACTTATAAAAATAACAGCTGAGAAATGTTGAGTTAATTATTTTGTCAATTTTAAATGTGAAAAAGGTGTCTTTAAAGTTTTTAGAGCTATAGTGTGTATAAATACGTTCATTTTGTGTTGTGGATTGTGACAAAGTGCTTACTAAGTGCCTACGATATTGTTTATTAATTATATTAAAGCAAAATATGGAAGTACTCTAAAAAGAATGCTTGCAAAAGGTGATGCTGGGAACTGCTGTTCTTAAAAATGCATTATCCGAGTATTTAATACGATTTATTAGTATTAAACAGTTAATTTTGTATACTGCATACATATAAGGTGTTTAAATAAATAATGAACGTTTTGCATTCGGCAACCAATAATGCACGTGTGTGTATTATTGGTTGCCGGATAAGGACTAATAACCATGACAAGGACTACAATGACGTCACATAGCGAGTAGTTTTCGCATGCACCTGGCGGACACTTTTGGCTGAATGAGCAGTCCTATTAGGTTAACTGTTCTTGGGCCGCCCCCGCTTTAAGCCCCGGGATCGCGCTGGCAGGCATGACTATTCCATAATGGCTACACAAAAGGATACTTCACACAAAAAATTAGCCATGTAACGATGATAAGGTTTTTTATGTAGCCAGCTCTTAGACAATAATATTTGAATATGTAATTCAAGCCTATCCTGTTTTAATAAGGAGTATGTGGTTGAAGTAGGTATGCATCTGCCTGATTTATGTTTTACTTTTAAGACTGGCAAAAATTTGTTAGTTGAAGTTTACAAAATGAATGGAAAATTTGATGTAATAAAATTGCATCTCATTACAAAGGGTAGATGAATGTGATTAGAGTAAACGCCACGAATATTTGGGAGTGATTCATCGCTTGATGAAGTTAGAATCGACACGCGCGCTATCATTTTTACATTAAAAATGTAAATTTTTACCGCAGACGTAGGTTTTTAAAGGCCCGGTCTAATCATCTGCCTGCGCTCCTCCTACTTATTCTAAAATGTTAGCGTGATTGACAAAGACGATACTATATCACGTTTCTTTGATTGATTCGTTTTTGTG